TTGAACCCCTGGCCTCAGGCAGTCCCTCTCACCTCTGCCTCCCAAAGTGCTAGGATTATAGGTGTGAGACACCATGCCTGGTCATGTCTCTTTAAAAAAAAAAAAGAAAGAAAAAAGCATGTCTACTGGGCTGTTAATAAGGAAGCTATACCCTTAGGCAGCAAAATATTCAGGTCACTTCCTGGCAGCAGAGCTGATACATGTTTGAATGAGGCACTCTTGTGCAATAGTCTGACTGTCCCATCTGTGTCCCTGCCAGGTGTCATTGTTGGGTCCTAGGCTCTGTTTCTCCAAATAATGTTGGCCTGTGCTGAACCACAGGCATTTTTCAGGTTTCTGAAAGACCTGGGGGCAGCAGCCATTCAGAGGGTGACAGAACAGAGAAGACCCCAGTGCCAAGACCACCCCTTTCCCCTTGAGGTCATTCTAGACTCTACTTTGACAAAACAAGGATGCTGTGACTTCATGCTCAGCAGACCTCTAGCACATGGCTCTCTTCTTCTCTTCCTGTCGATACCAGGGAGAACATAATGATTTTTCATAGGCAGCCTGTGGCTTCATTGGGAGTTTTTACTTTAGTTAGAGTTAACAGCAGAGCCTTGGCAATATAGCAGATGCTACATTGATATATGTCAAGCTATATCTCATTTGAAAGTTTGACTGATTGCTCCATTGAGAACTAGAAATTAAAGTGAGGATTCAAGAAATTTGTAGACAGCTCTGCTAGGTAAAGCATATTTTAAAATGTAAGAGCCTTTTTTTTTGCTAGATTTATGGCTTCTTCAATCTAATGTATTTTAAATAATGCAACAAAATAACACTTGACTCTCGTCCCCGGTTGATTCCCATTCACTGTATACCTGCAATTCAAAAGATATACAACCTGTATCCCCCTGGGACATGCAACTCCTTACCAGACATCTTTCGCATTATAATTTCAGCAGTGCATCTTCTAATCCAAAATCAATTGTAAATTCACCTTCTGGTTCTTTGCATTAAACTGGATTAGCCATTGTAAATGATTTTTGTGTGTGTGTAGACTTTAAGGTATTGAATTATTTATGTGTGTCTTGCCTGCTAAACCAGATTATGACAGTTTGAATGTAGCACTCTTCATTTAAAATATTTGTGGCTTGCCATTATAAGCATATTAGTAAAATAAGATCATTTAAATTGGGGAAAAACAGACAGTTTCAATTTACTAGTGTTTGTAAAATTACCTAATACTGTGGGGTTGAATTTAGCATTTAATTTCTTGAGATCTGATCTTGTATTTCACTGTGGCCCTGCCCACTATGAATTTTTATTACATACAAGAGGGGGATTGGGACAATTGCTATAAGCCATACTTAAGCTAATTTTTAATCATTTCAAAACCTTGCTTGAGTATTTCCAGAGCATAAATTACCTATCTCTTGGCCAGGCACAGGAGCTCATGCCTATAAGCCTAGTAATTTGGGAGGCCTAGGTGAGAGGATTGCCTGAGCTCATGGGTTTGAGACCAGCCTGGGCAACACGGTGAGACCTCATCTCTACAATAAATTAAAAAATTAGCCGGGTTTGGTGGCGCATGCCTGTAGTTCCAGCTACTTGCAAGGCTGAGGCGGAAGGATCACCTGAGCCCAGCAGGTCAAGGATGAGGTGGCCGTGAGCGTGCCACTGCACTCCAGCCTGGGTGACTGAGTGATTCTCTGACTCAAAAAAAAAGAAAAACGTTACCTGTCTCCTGAAATTCAAAATAGCCCTGAGGTATTATATATGTGTATGTGCACATTAAAGCAATTCATTAGGTATCTTCAGAAATGCCAAATTCTTGACTGGCTATTATATATGGACTACTTGGGCCATGATGGAAAATGAAGGAGCCATACTTGAGACTGGGAAGTTTTCATTGTAGCCCTGAGATGTCAGGGTCATAAGTTGTCTATTTTGCTGTTTCTGACTCCCTCAGAACTTCGAAAGTATCCTTGTTAGATATGGTGGGGATGTGTTTTCTCTTTTAATTTCTAGAAATGATGTAGAGTTCATTCTTTCTTTGGGAGTGAGATTACTGCAGGCCATCTTTAGCATGACAATTAGAAACAGCAGTATCTTCACTTTGCTGGTTGGAATTTGTGAGCACAAATGATTACTACCTCTGAAAAGAGATATGAAGTGCTATTATTCTTTTTAGCCATACATGTAGATGACCTTTGGTGTGCAGGGTGGATTGTCGGGGATGACCTGGTTACAGTGAGGTCTCTGTGACAACAGTCTTGGATGTTGGGAAGTGGAATGGAGAATCTGATTTATAACCCCCATCATCCTCCCACATTCCACCATCTTTCTTCCTCCTTAGCCTAATACACTTTATTTTAAAGCCCCTTAATGCAAAGTGTTAGGCTCTCAGTAGACTAGAAATGTTTCTGATATTGGGTGACTAAGTAATAACAGTACAGTTGTCTTAATGTCAATGTGAATTTGTCTCATCTTGTCTGAAACAGAATCGAACAAGTACAGGTTCAGACAGATTTTAGAGTCCATTGTTCATTTCTCAAGAGCAGGTTCTTAAAAGCACACACACACTGTTTCTCTTTTGTTTTTCATCCTTTTCTTTCTTCTAAGCTTGTTTTCTAGCATTCTTTAATTTTCATTTCTTATCAGTTTCTGATGTAAAGAGAAAATATAGTTTATTTCTTTGAAATGTGATTTCTGATATCACTTTAAAAGTTCCGAGCATAGAATAAATTGGCTATTTTGTAGTGTATGTGTGCAGTGTGAAGCTACTAGTTAGTTCTTTTAAGGCCTCACCCAGTAATGGGAACTTACTGTGTATGTCTATGTGTGCACACAGTCTGTCAGTGTTGCCAGGTGAAGTCAGAATTATCAGCAATGCAGTCATCAGATTCCTTTTTGCAGGAATAGATCTTCAAACCGGACTCAGTATTTTCTCTTTTTTTTTTTTTTGAGTTGGAGTCTCACTCTGTCGCCCAGTCTGGAGTGCAGTGGCTGCTTCCGGCCACCGCAGCCTTGACCTTCTGGACTCCAGCGATCCTTCCGCCTCAGCCTTCTGAGTAGCTGGAACTACAGGCGCATATTACCACACCTGGCTAATTTTTTTGATTTATTGTAGAGATGAAGTCTCGCCAAGTTGCCCCAGGTGGGTCTTGAACCCGCAGGCTTCCAAAGCACGGGATTACAGGCTGAGCCACCAAGCCCGGCTAGTATTTTCTCTTTTTGAGCCTGTTTCCTTATTATTCTTACTTGCTTGTTTTGCCCTGACCTTAAAATTGTCTTAATTTTTAAAATTTTGATAAATTGTATCAACAAGTACAAATCTGTCTCCTAAGACATTGTCCAGAGTATATATGGTTTTAGCCAAGAGGTTTTTTTTGTTTTTTTTTAAAGAGATGAGGTCTCACTCTGTCACCCAGGCTGGAGTATAGTGGCATGATTATAGCTCACTGGAGCCTTGAACTCTGGGGTACAAGTGATCTTCCCACCTCAGCCTCCTGAGTAGCTGGGATTATACTTGTGAGCCACTGTGCCCGGCAACCAAAAGTCATTACAAATTTTTTTTTAGAAAGTTTCTACTTTAAAGAAATAAATTTTCAATTACAGTGGTGTCATTGGTTTTTAAAGTGGAACTTGAGTCCCTCTAGTGGGTAGAGTATAATTCACTTTCTAAGCTTGAATAGAAAGGAAGATGTCAGTCTTGGTTTTCATGGAACCAGCTTTCAAATCCAGTGTTCTCATCAGTACTGGTATCACCCAGCTGAGAGGCAGTGCATAGCTAGCCACTGGCTTGGCCCTAACATCAGGCAAGGTTCAGTAGTCCTCCTCTTCTGCCCATGTGATCTTAGTGACCCTGGTCATTCCTTACCTGTGATCTCACAAGCTGTGGTTCACTGGCAGCTTTACTTTAAGCCTCAGAGAGGGTAAACTCAAACTATAAATTGGTAATTTTTATGTCATGCAGTTCTTTCTAGAAAAGAACATGGTGCTCTCAGGGCCTTGAGTTACTATGAAATAAATAATTGAAGCAGGACGTGGTGGCTCAGTCTATAATCCCAGCACTTTGGGAGGCCTAGGTGGGAGAATTGCTTGAGCCCAGGAGTTGGAGACCAGCCTAGGCAACATAGCATGACCTTGTTTCTTAAAAAAAAAAAAATCAAACTATTAGCTGAGCATAATAGTCCCAGCTACTACTCGGGATGCCTATAGTCCCAGCTGCTTGGGAGACTGAAGCAGATTGCTTGAGCCCAGGAGGTTGAGGCTGTGGTGAGCCATGATCGTGCCACTGCACTAATAACAATAATAATTGTGAGCCGGACTCGGTAGCTCAGCCTGTAATCCCACGCCTGTGGGAGGCTGAGGTGAATGGATTGCCTGAGCCCGCGAGTTTGAGACCCGCCTGGGCAACTTGGCGAGACCTCATCTGTACAATAAATCAAAACGAGCCAGGCGTGGTAGCGCGCGCCTGTAGTTCCAGCTCCTTGGAAGGCTGAGGCGGAAGGATCGCCGGAGCCCAGCAGGTCGAGGCTGCAGTGACTGGGAGCAGCCACTGCACTCCAGTCTGGGTGACAGAGTGAGACTCCAACTCAAAAAAACCAAACAAACAATAATAATTGTGTAGGCCTGCTTTGGGCACCACAGGTCCATTTAGTAATTGGAGGGGTTGTATATTGATAGCAAGGATGGAGCCAGCATGGTTTGGGTGGAAAGAACTTGAGTTGGAGTGCAGATCCTAACTGCAGTTTCCAGCTGTGGGACCTTGAGCTGTGATTACATCACCTTTCTGTACCTGGTGTTCCCTTTTGTAAAATGGGGAGATGTTAAGACTATCTTGCAGGGTCATTTTAAGTATTGGAAATAACACAGGCAAAGGCCTTTATGTTTTTAGCGCTGTATGATTGGTATCAGAAGTCATGGGAATTTCTCTAGTTGAGTCCATTATAATGAATGTGATTTAATTATTTGGATAACTTTCTTCTTTTTTCCATGCCTTGTTTTTCTTTCAGTCACCGCCAAGTAAGCGAAGAAAATTAGAGAAGCCAAGGAAACCCATTACATTTGTAGTGTTGGCGCCTGTGATGAAAGAATTATCCCTCAAAGCATCATCTTTGGGCTCTGAGACAGTGGAAGGCATAGTTGTTGTCACGACATGGATTGAAAGGATTCTCACCGATTTGAAGGTACCTGGTTAACCACATTGATGACGTACTCATCATCTTTCTCTTCTCTTTTTCTTTCTTCTTCCTTTTTAAAAAGAGTTTGGAGAGAAGGGAAAGGTGATTTTTTATTAAATTCTGCTTTCCCCCCCAAATAGGTCCAGCATAAACGAGTTCCCTGTGGAAAAGATGAAGTTAGCCTTTTCCTAACAGCCATAGAAAACTCCTGGATTCACTTAAGGAGAAAGAAAAGGGAGCGGGTGAGACAATTGAGAGAAGTTCCTCGAGCGCCTGAGGATGTCATCCAAGCCTTGGAAGAAAAAAAATCCACCCCCAGAGAGCCTGGCAGTAGCCAAGAATTGGCCAAGGGCCCCCAGGAGAGTGCCCTGTGTGTGCCTGCCTCTGTTGAGGGCCATTGCCCAAGCCAGGAGTCACTTTCCCAGGAGGAAAACCCAGAACCCATGGAGGATGAAAGGAGTGAGGAAAAGGGAGGGCTAGGGGTTGTGGAAAGTTGCAAAGGCTCTAGCAATGGAGCCCAGGACCAAGAGGCCTCCGAGCAGCTCAGCAGCCCAGTGGCTGAAAAGGGGAAATGTCTTCACGAAGTGGCTGGACGTTACCTGTTTAAGTGTTTGATAAATGTTAAGAAGGAGGTAGATGATGCCTTAGTTGAGATGCATTGGGTTGAGGGCCAGAACAGGGATTTAATGAACCAGCTTTGTACCTACATACGGAACCAAATTTTCAGGCTTGTTGCTGCTACTTAACTCCAATCTTCTAGTACATTTGGAATGTGTCTGTAAAGCAGCTTGCTTTGGAGTGCTCTGTGGGGTGGCAGGAGGAATTCTAGCATTGGCCCATTCATAGTATTATGTGGAATTATCTAAAAAAGCAGATTAATCCAATTTTGAATGCCCCCCCTTTGTTTTTTAGGTTACAGGGAGTTTTATATGGTCCCCTTTGTTTTTTAGGTTACAGGGAGTTTTATATGGTGGTACGGAGGAGGAATTGTGGTCATCAGCAACAACAAAAAGCTGTCAGTAAACTCGAGGGATTTAAAGCTGACTTAAGCTAGTCCACTCAGCTTTGGCCTGGTTGTGTGAGTCCAAAAGGATTGTTTGTGGAGTCTGGGTTGGGCAGCACTACCCAGAGTATCATGCTGTCTCTGTCACCCAAGGGTGCTTTTGAGAAAGGATATCTCTCTCCGCTTCTCTTTGGAGGCATTACACCAGGGCAGATAGGCCCTGATGCCCTCTCCTAGGTCACCCTTCAAAACTGAACCTACCCTGCATCATTCCTGATAAAGGAACTTGCCCAATGGTAGGCAGTGGGAGAGTTGGGGAGAGAAACTCAGTGATGCCAGGAAGAAGGGCCAGTTTGGGGAACGCCTGGGATGTGGCACATTGCTGATTGTGTCTGTTTTGATGTTGCTTATTTCAGAAGCAGAATTAGGTAAGCAAAACTCCTAGATGTGACTGAGACACAACAGAATACACCCACGTTCCTACCTCCAGCCTGTTGAAAGTACCATTTTGTAGCAGTTTTATTGCTGTATGATTTTTGTTTCAACATTTGAAGTGGAGCTTGTTTTGTTTTTAATATAAGAATTTTCAGAACTAAACTGTCAATCTTGTTTGAATCCTGGGGTTGGCACTAATTGATGATAGAAATGAGAAATGGAGCAAAATAGTATATGTGGTATGCAGCTTAAGAAAGTCTCAGCCGTTGGCAAGTTCATTTGTTGCTGATCAATACTGCTTCTTGTGGCTTCACTTGTAATCCCATGTGTGCTTACCTACTCGCATTGGAGAGTTCTGAGGCCAGGGTATCTGTGTTCCTAAAACTTGCTTCTAATCGCAATGCCAGGGTTCAGCAGAAATACCTCTGGAAAAAGTCTCTTTTTTTTCTTGTTCTCTTGGTCTCTCAGTTACTGTCTGCTGTGCCTGACTTTGACAGATTGATTTAGACAAACATCTTTGAGTATAGTGTCCGAGCTCCTTACCATCTGCAAAGACTGGGGCTGAGTAGTTAAGCCACTCTTTTGAGAGGTGACTGTTGTCTAGGGCAGAAAGCTGATGCCTTCGGCATAGCTTGGCAGTGGCTAGATCAGGCCCTCAGGAGAAATCCAGGAAATGAACGATTATGCCTCCCTGTCAATGGGGCTGGAGCTAGAGAAGAGACCATACTAACCAGTGTTCCTCTCCTGGTCCATAGACCTCCAGAGTCCATAAATCTCCTGGAATTATTTCTAAAAGCACTGTGTGCATATGTATTTTGTTTTGTTTCTGGGGAAAAGGGTTCATGGCATAGAGAGAGGGGCCAGTAACCCACTAAGATTAAGAACCACCATTCTAGCTGGGCGCGGTAGCTCACACCTGTAATCCCAACACTTTGAGAGGGTGAGGTTAGAGGATTGTCTGAGCCCAGCGGTTCGAGACTAGCCTGGGCAACTTGGCGGGACCTCATCTCTACAATAAATCAAAAACTTAGCCAGGTGTGGTGGCATAGCACCTGTGGTTCCAGCTACTTGGTAGGCTGAGGTGGAAGGATTGCCTGAGCCCAGCAGGTGGAAGCTGCAGTGGCCATGAACATACCACTGCACTCCAGCCTGGGTGACAAAGTGAGACTCCTATTAAAAAAAACCCACACCATTCTAGTGCAGCCTTTCGTGTCATTCATGTGACAGGGTGAGGATCACACAGACAAAATTCATTCTGGGGCCTTGGATTCATTCTCTGCTGTACTGGCCCACACCATTTTGTACTTACCTCTGATGAATATCACACTTGAATCATATGCCAAACCCAAACCTAGTTTTCTTGATAGAATCTTGGGATAATTGAGTTAAGTGGCAACTCTTCATTCAATAAGTATTTGTTGTTTGCTTATTTGTTTCAATGTGAAAGAGTAGTGCATGTTTCTTAAAGATCTGGAAAGATGAAAGTCTAAAACAACAACAGAATCACCCCTCATGTCAATTTTCTGTAATTTTTTTTTTTTTAATTAGAGTCTCACTCTCGCCCAGGCTGGAGTGCAGTGGCACGCTCACAGCCACCCCAGCATCGACCTGCTGGGCTCCGGTGGTCCTTCCTCCTCAGCCTTCCAAGTAGCTGGAACAGGCATGCACTACCACACCTGGCTAATTTTTGATTTATTGTAGAGATGAGGTTTCGTCAAGTTGCCTGGGCTGGTCTCAAACCCAAGGGCTCAAGCAATCCACTTGCCTCTGCCACCCTAAGTGCTGGTATTGCAGGCTGAGCCACCGAGTCTGACCTATTTTCTGTAATATTAGCTACTATTGGTGTTTGTGTGTTTCCTTCCTGTCTGCCTTTCTATAGCTGGGGTGTGTGTGTGTGCAGGTTTAACTTTGGTTGTATTCATGTTCTATATTCAGCTTTATGGTATGGTTCTTTTCACTTAATGTATGTCTCCATGTTATAATGGTAGTATATTTATTTACACTCCTTACCGTTCAAAATGTCATTTGGGCACACTATTGACCTTTGTTTGTTTAAGTCTTGTTCTTAGGATTTCCCTTGGATAACTAGAAGCATGAAAGGTGTGTTTTGTCTATATGTGTTTATGTCCCTAGGTTTAAGGCTTGGTGTCATGGAGTAGGTTTTATCAGTGTTACACTCATGATACTAGAATTTTAAAAATTGGTGACAAGAGGCTTCCACAGTCTTGTAAGCACTACAGCTGGGAGTGCCTTTGTTGTTTTCAGATGTCTTCATTTCCTTCTCAGAGATGAACAGATTATTTCCTAGACTGTATCTAATGAGAGATCATTGAAAACATTTAAAAAAAATATCTAAGCAGGGCTCGATGGTTCAGCCTGTAGTCCCAGTGCTTTGGGAGGCTGAGGTGAGTGGATTGCCTGAGCCCGCAGGTTCGAGACCCACCTGGGCAACTTGGCGGGACCTCATCTCTACAATAAATCAAAAATTAGCCGGACGTGGTAGCGCACACCTGTAGTTCCAGCTACTTGGAAGGCTGAGGCGGAAGGATCGCCGGAGCCCAGCAGGTCGAGGCTGCGGTGGCCAGGAGCGTGCCACTGCACTCCAGTCTGGGTGACAGTGAGACTCCAACTCAAAAAAAATAAAAATAAATATCTAAAAGTTGTTTTGGTCATGCATATACTTTATAATTGTGTGATGTATTACAGCATATACCTCTAAAGAAATAGGTTATTGACCTATGCGTCACAATGTTGAGTGATACTCTCCTTAAGTGTCTGGAGGTCAGGGTCATATTGGTAGATTGGTTTGAAATTAAATCTTTGTGGTACGATCTTAAATTCTATTCTGGTCCCTAGAACTGGCTTCTGATCTCTTGATAACTAAAGTTGGAACAGAAGCTCCGCTTGTTTTCTGAGGCAAACTAAAGCTGCTTTTGTTCTTTGGAATCTGCTTTGTTTCCATCATTTTGAGTCCTTCTCCCACATCTTTTCCTCAGTGTCCCACACCAGAGCTTTGCTGCATGTCCTGGCAGGGTTGTGGCTCTGGTGGCCTTTTCAGCTAATCTTAAGGGTTCATGTAGATTGCTTTAGTATATGTTTTTTAAAAACATAAAACATCTCTTCTCTTGATAGAAATCAAAGATTACCATGTGAGCACTCAAACTTCTAACTTCTAAATAAAACTACAAGGTGTGGAAGAGATGCAGAAAAGACTGGAAAATTGAGGCCTTTTAAAAGAAGGGAATTAATGAATTGGTGACTAACTGCTGGAGTCCCTCCAGCTTACTTAAACCGCAGCATTTCCCTCTGTAGCCACACGAGGGCATCATTGGCCCTTTTATCAAGCGCCTTAACTTCATTGTGGGAATGGATAAAATTGTGTTTGTGATATTTTCTTGAAATATCTAGTTGCTATCCAGATTTGTATTTTTATGTAAGCAAGTAAATTTTCACATAAATAAAATTTGAAAAATAAAAGAAAGAACAAAAAAACACTAGCCATGGTCTTTTTATCCAGCATAATTCATTTCAACCTTTTAATTTTTTTTCTTAATGGTCCCAGTTGACTAGTTCTTTCTTTTTTGCCTATCTGTCCTTATATTGTAGAATAGATCCAGTTTGGGCCAGTTCTTCAGATCAACTTTTTATTGGTATCTAGTTAATGAGGGTAATGGAAGGGGAATGTTTAGGATCTTAAAACAGTAAAAAAATGACTTGTTTTCCAGGAAGAGTAATTTCGAGATCTCCAAGAAAAAAAACTGTTTCTGATGTCCTTTTGTTGATTCTTGTTTTGGGTTTATCTGGTTGGCTGACTAGCATGCATGTTATATGTATCAAGTTGGTGAGAATTGTGTGGTGCATGTTACAGAGGCTAGCTTGGCTTATGGTGTATGTCATGGGGGGTTAGCTGGGCTTGTTTCTCACGGGGTGTTTCTGTGTGGAACATGCATATAACTAGCCCTGGGGTCTGTGTGGGCTCCAGGAGAAGTTCTTCTGGCACAGGAACAGATGCTGTAGCCACCCAGCAATTCTGCACATTATGGAGAAGATGGTCTAGAAAACTAAGTCGGGTCCCCCGGAAGAAAGAACACCTCAAAGACTGTAACAGGTAATTTACAGCCATCTAGGGCAGGGTGCCTCAAAGGAGAGGGATGTGACCAGGTCAGTTTTTTAGGGAAGTTGGTACCAGGAGATTTAGTTTGCTGAGTGACCACTAACCTCAGTAAAACCAAGAAGAGGCTTAGAAAATGAACTGGCATCTGCCTCCTGGAGCAAGGTGTTGACGGTCATGAGCGTTCTAATAATCCC